CTGGGAGCAAGCGAGGCTCCAGCCCTCCGGGCTCCAGCTCCCCGCTGCCTGATCTGAAAACACAAGGCAAGGCGAGCTGCCCGCCCCTGGAGAAGGACCCTCGGCTTAATAATAAAAGGCCTCAGGTACAGGCAACGATCGGTGGGAAAGAAGAGATGTCAACTCTTCCTTTCCATGTGCCTCGCTCGATGCCTTCGGAGCATCCGACAGGCAAGCTGCTCAGCCAAAGCCTTATAAAGCCAAAAACATAAGGTGTCACCGTGGAGCCCCAGCCTTGATCTTGGCACCGGAGCCCACGGCTGTGAAGCCCAGGCCAGCAGCACGGCTCACGGGTAGAGCGCACCGTTCCGCTCCTTTGGGTACACAATCAGTTACTTTCTAATTGCTTCTAAAGCATCATAAAGTAACTTTTCTTCTGGGGGAAAAAAAAAAAAAAAAAAAAAAAATCAGTCGCTCGGGTGGTGTCGGTCGCCAGCGGCTTCGCCCGGCCCCGCGCCCTGACCCAGCGACGCCAGCCCGCTGCCTGATCTCATCCTACGTGCGGATCCGGGAACAGCCTCAGAAACCGGCCTGGAACAAAAGCACCGCCGGGGCAACGGGAGAGCGGCGGCCGCCCCGCATGGGAAAGAAGAACGGGCCAAGAGATTAGCTCTGCATTCTGCTTCGCCCTTCTCTGAGGCACGTGCCGAGCCGCAGCTATTTTGGGTCGGGAGGAAAGCCCCGGAGGAGTGGGGGGCTCCCACACGGCTCGCTGCTGCCGGGGCGCCGGCTGGGAGAGCGCCGGGGACGGAAAGGGCCCAGGGGAGCCAGCCGCCCTGCCGAGGGGCTTCTCGGCACCATCCTACACGGCCAGAGAGCCCTCCTCCTCCCGGCAGCCTTTCCCAGCCCAAACCCGCTCACTGCTGCGCCTTCGCCTTCCTCACCTACTTTCCAGCTGCTCCTCCGAGATCCCCTTCCCTTTAAAACACCAGCTCCTGGAGTCATGTTATTTCTTCCCTGCTTGGAAAGGCATTTCTAGTCCCTCATGCCGGGTTGATAAGATGGAAAAAGGCTCAGCGAGCATCCCGAGAGGGCTCAAACACCAGGAGGCAAGCGAGGAGACCCAGGCGCAGACGAACGCTTTCAGGGGTCCGTGTTTTTGCCTCGCAACCCCACCTCACGCTGCCTGGAGCCCGCGCTCCCGGGAAGTCAGGCCAGGGCTGCCTCTTCCCTCCCGCCCGCTTCTCCCGCACCGTTGCCCACCGGGTAGAGCCCCGCAGCCTCCCCGGCGACGGCGTCAGTCCCTCGGGGGATGCAGCTCGGGCCCCTCGCTCCCGCCGCCCCTTCTCACCTGCGCTTGTACTCGTCGCGCTCCCTCTTCACCTTGGCCAAGACGTTGTAGAGGGCTCGGATCTCCGGGGTGATGGTGTCGATCTGCACGCCCACCCCGTCCGGGTGGACCCAGGAGACCCCCGGTCCCTGCACCAGGGTGGTCTCCGGCCCCGGACCCAAGCGCCGGGCTTGCGAGAAGGACCAGATGGTGCCGGGCATGAAGCGGGAGGTGGCCGGGAAGGGAGGAGGTGGCTGGGCAGGGGCTCCGGGCCGGCAACCGGGGGAACCCAGCGTCCGGGCCGGCCCCAGCCCCAACCCCAACCCCAGCCCCAGCCCCAGGCTGCGGATGGGGCCGACGAAGCCGGTCTGCACCGCCTGGTCGCGGCGCGGGGGGCCGCGGCCCCGGCCGCCCCCCCCCCCCTCCCCCCGCCCTGCCCCCAGGCGCAGCGGCTCCTCTACCCGGGCTCCGCTGCCGACCGCGCCGGCCCGGGGGCTGCTC